TCAACTCGTGAGAGTAATATTAACGAAATATAATTTTTAAAAAAAAAAAAAAAAAGAAAAATGTCGATATAATACGTTTTTTATTTATTTATTTAATACCAAGAGCCCCGTGTCGCGTTGAAAGTTAACGATAAAACTCGAAATACTCGTTTGCACGTGAAAAGTAGTTTTTTTTTTTTTGCACTTCTGTGTTTCACCTTTTACTTTTCTATAAAGGTCTCTCTTTCTCTCGTTCTCTCTTCGTCTTTCTCCCTCCACCTGTGCTTCGCATTTCTGCATCTCTCTCTTTTTCTTTTTTTCGCTCCATTAAAAAATCCTTTCCAAAGAGGAAGTTTCTTCGTAGAAGAAGAGAGAAAAGATTAATTTTTCAATCAATTTTTTCTTTTTTTTTTGTTCTTCGAACGATAAATGGTGCACAATATCGAGTAAAAGAGTGATTATGTTAAATATTTCGACTTAGAGATTTAGGAGACGGTCGCGAATTCTTGACATCGAAACGATATTCCGAAATTAAAATCGAGACGAGGGTCTAAATATAGAAAGAGGCCGAGAAATCTTTCCTCCATCGTTCCCCTCTGAAATTTTTTTTTTTTTTTCAGATCGCTTTAGATCTTAATCGGATAAAGCTTTTTCCTTAATCATGGCAATATGTTACATCACGGTTTCAAAGTGGACTTTCCTTTCGAAACAGAATTTTCTTAAAATCATTCATCTATGATAATGGATATTATGTTATAATATAAGAAAGGGATACACTTCGTGTTCATCATCATTTAGAGTTTTTCTTATTCAATTTTTAAAAAAAGAAAATTGTTTTAAATTTTAAAAATCGTCATCCTATCCTTTACATTTTTTTGTTACCCCGTTAAAGTTGATAAATACACACGTAAATTCGAGACATTTTAACGTTAAATTGCATTTATCTGGATACGTTTAGGATCTTTAATTATCACGTTGTATATATCCTTGGTGACGAAAAGTGTGAAAAGCGTGTTTAGCAAGTGGTCGAAGACGTGTTCGAATCCATGAACAGTAATCCAGATTGAGGGAGGCAGGCGCGTGGACGGTACTCGAGTTTGCTCGTGGTTGCTTCTACTACCTTGACATGGATTCCCGGCTGGCAGTCAGGGCCGGGGACGCTCGCGAAGGACCCCCGCGTGTTAATTTCACGTGGAAACCCTTTTAACTTTGAGGCGAAAATTTAATCGATTTATTGTGCCCTCGACACGAGCACGCGCGACACGATTTTATTATTGACACACGTGTGGAAACAATTCGAGAACAAAAACGTTTCTACGTTTTACATTTTGTTATTTAAAAAGTATGGAGATACTTGTTACTTTTAATTGAAATGTCTCGCTTTATAAATCCTGCCTTTTTCGATGCTCTCTTCTTTCGATAATTCGATCCATCTATCGAAAGGAAAATTTGTTTTTTAATTCATTCCCTTTATTAAAAGTTTTATTTTATTACGTACCAAATACGTTAAAAATAGAATAATATTTGTACGTTTTATCGTATAATCGTATAAGACTTATTATTTAAACAGCCCTGGCAAACATCTGTTGCCACACGATGGCGTATACAGTGAATAAAAATTCTCGAGTTCTTCTATTATTTTTCATATTGCGGATACGCGTATCCTGATGATAATTAGCGTGTATATATGTGTGTAGATTATATTAATATTAATTCGAATAGAAACGTATATAATATATACTTTGCAGATTTTTCTTGAATATTTTGTATCTGAAAAAAAAAAAAAAAGAAAAATTAGTAAAAATTTTCTAAATAAATTTCGTCAATTGGTTGTCGCGTATTTCTAAATTTGAATTTATATTATAGATTAATTCTCTCGTTGCGCCATCTGTATATAATATCGAAAATTACACATACGTTTTTATTTCACATCGACCTCTTATTTTATATAACGTTTGTAACGTTTGAGAACATTTCTATTTTGAGAACGTATAATTAATTACTAAACATACGTTTATAAGTCCTCTATAATAAAAATCATACATAAAATTATCTCTATTTATACGCATTGTAACGTATGTTTTTTTTTTTTCTTCTTTCAGTACTAGCAAAAGAGTTTTAATCTGTGGAAAAAAATTCAATTCTAAGAATACCATAGCGTGAAAAGGTTACGAATAAAAATCGATATAATAACCCTGTTTTCAACCCTGTCGATACAACGTGTACACGAATGGAAATACGAGAATATTTTTTTTTTCTCTCCAACTTCGAAAGGAGGAAAATTTTGCAAGGTGTTCCCGCGAGTTTACACGGTAAACCGATACGTAATACATTTTTACACAATTAACAAAATCCGTACTCTGTACCCTCGTGTCGCGTTTTGCATTGAAATCGTCTCGTTTGTTTTTCACGTGGACAAGAGAGAAAACAAAAGGAACGTTGTAACTCTCTGGAACATAAAAGCTCTTTCAGTGGTTGGTATACTTACATGTATGTTTGACGAAATTTCACCGTGTTCACGTAATCAAGTAAATGAGGGAAAAGAAAGAAAAAAGGAAGGATCGTTACGCGAAAGTTGAGCAGAGAGAGGTAGAGAAGTGAAAGCACTACTGGTAGCGTTCCATTCGTGAAGTTACGCAGATTTTAACGTGTGATTTCCAAGCTTCAAGGACGTTAAATTTCATTTTTCCTTGATTTTTAATATTCTTTAAACGTCGTTTTGTAATTCCTCGTTTTCTATATGATACAACTTGTGAAATTGTTAGCCTGAAAGAGGGATAGGATTATAATTTGCTCAATATAAGTTGTTTAAAATCTGGTAAAGATTGTTTTTGTTTTTTTAGTTAATCCTTTATTTAATTTTTTGATATCTATAAATTCTTTAAAGATAGATAAGATAAGTCCTCTATTTTTTTCTTCTCTAATGTTTTTTTTTTTAGAATTCTTGAAATTCTAGTTCCTAGAATTGATAAAATGGACTCGATCGTTCAAGATTATCAAAGCATCAGTTTCATTTAAGTTTTTAAGGAATTTGTTGATATTTCGAACATTTTTAATCTCTCTTTTCTATTATTTTTCTATCGTAATTGAAGTTTCAAGAACGATAAAATAAAATAGTCGAGATTGTACAAAATTATTTTCAATTACCTTTTAATCTTTTAATGTATTTTACAATTTTTGAAAAATAATTCTATTTTTCTTCTTCTTTTTTTTTTGTTTCTTTTGTAATAGTTTTAAAAGATGAATAAAATAATCAATATCGAATAATCAGTCAACTTCATCAATTTTTGAATACATTTTTTTAACAAACTTGGTAATTATATTCATTCTCTTATAATTCTTTTTATGATCCTTGAAATTCGAAGCTTTACAAAAAATGGAATAGGATATTAATCATCGAAAATCATCTTCAATAAAAAGTTAACCTTTTAATGTTTTTTAAATCTTTTTCAACTCTAACATGTCCAATAATCATCGAAGATCATCTTCAGTTCAACAAATCAATCTTTTGATCTTCTAAATCCTGTTCAATTCTATTCTCTTCGTGTAGTGGATGGAATTAACCTTTAAGGGGATTGGTAAAGGTTATTCAAGAGTCATTGAAGGTCATTTTCCAAATAACTAGAGGAAATATAAAGTAGGTGGATTATGTCAGGTCAGTCGAATCTCGTATAGGTCATCGGTGACCCATGAAAGTCATTAGTAAAACTCATTAAACGTGCTCTAGAAATTAAAACAACATTATTACGTCCCTCTTAAAGAAATTCCTTTAACGATTCACTCTCTTTCTTGAATATTAATTTCCACTTAACAATCGATTGTAAATAAGAAAGTATAAGTAGAATACTTTACCCTACTTATTTCGTTCTCTTCTCCGACTTCTTGATTTGTTGCTCTGCCCTACTATTCTAATTATAATTCAATTATGCAATTCCTCATCATGTAAGAATAATAATATAATCCTCTTCTGTAAGTGGGTTACGGAATCTTGTCTCGAAATATTAAATTAAAAAAAAAAAAAATGTAAAAAATTTCGTGATTATAATAAAATAATAACGAAAAACATTCTTATACGATAAAAAATGATCGTCCATGATGTATAATATTCCTTGATAATCAATAATTACATTTGTCAATGCAATATAAAAACTTAACTTAATTAATTTCGATGTGACTTTCTTTTCTTTTTTTTAGTAATTACTCAAGCAATTTAACATTAACTGTTCATTCAATTGTAACATTATGTCAATTTACAGTTTCGAGTAATTTTATAAGTTTGAAACTAACATTAGACTTCGCGTCTAGATTGAACTATACAATCCATGCCAGGATTTAATTAAATTACATAAAATAACCCCAATTCATTTTAGAAGCACTTTATTAAAACAGAATCATTTTTTTGTGAGAAAAATTTTCATCAATTTTTATTTTTACCAAAAAAAAAAAAAAAAAAAAAATATTGAAATTAATTTCACATAGATACACGCACGCACTAGCGAGCACAAAACAAATTATAAACGCAACGATTAAACTTCAATTTTCATTTACACGATAAATCCAAAAACTAGACAAGTGTTAAAAAGAAAAAAAAAAAGAAGAGAGGGGGAAGGGAACAAAAGTTTCAAAACCGTTTCGAAAACCCTTTAAAAATTCAACCCCGGCCAAAAAAAAAAAAAAAAAAAAATATTGAAATTAATTTCACATAGATACACGCACGCACTATCGAGCACAAAACAAATTATAAACGCAACGATTAAACTTCAATTTTCATTTACACGATAAATCCAAAAACTAGACAAGTGTTAAAAAGAAAAAAAAAAAAAGAAGAGAGGGGGAAGGGAACAAAAGTTTCAAAACCGTTTCGAAAACACTTTATATATTCATCCACGGCCAAAAAAAGAAAAAAAAGAAAAAAAAAAAATTCGCGGTTCCCAACAGGCTGTTTCACATTTCACGGTTCGATTGGAGCCAAGTCACGGTCTGTTCGAGATCGGCCATGATTTAAACGGAACACCGATCTAACACTTCCGGGCTACGCTCGGTCCGCGTGTGTTCTCCTCCATTCGCGGTCTCGTTTTAAAAACACACAGCTGCATTCTAGCGGATCAGTATTTACGTACATTCGCGTGCATGCCCGCACACCTGCCGATATTAACTGCAGGTGCATCTACATTTGCGCACGCCACCTTGAGCGACTGCCGTGCCACGCGATATTTCACGATCCGGCCACACCGAGACGTATGACGAATCACTACCTCTGCTTTCCCTCCGCTTTGTCCCCGGAGAGTCATTTCCCCTATGAAATGATTTCATAATACTCTCCGCGAATCACGCGTCGCGCTCCCAAGATTCGCAGAGTTTTGTGGAATCGATCCGTGGGCGTGGAGGAGGATTTTATTTTATTTATTTATTTTTTTTTTTTTTCTGGAATTTACTCGCGACAATTTTCTTCTTCTTTCTCTTCAGAAATCTTCGGAAAGAAGATTTGTAAAACAGAAAAATAAAAAGAATTGTTATTAATTGATTATTCGGTTTTTGACAGTTTGAAATTTACTTGGAATTAACTTACGATGTAATCAATATTTTTTCGATTTTTGAGTAATTTCGATTTCTCTATTTTTCATTGTAAAAATAATTTACAAGTAATGGTTGAAGAATGCGTGACTGAAAAGTTAGTTGAGAATGAAGACCATGAACAAGGCGGGGAAAAAGGCGGTATAAATGGAAAGAAAAAAAGAAAAAAAAGTATTGTAATGGATAGAAGAAATTTTAAATCGATCGTCCCTCCTTCTTTTTCTCGTTTCGCATGCAAGGTCGAGATCGCAAGCGAGCTGATTCGATAATCGAACCCGGGAACCGTGCAAGCGTCATTTTGCAATCATCACCTTCGCCGACCTTGCCTGTCTTTTTTGAAACGACAGATGTCTAGATATCGATTCCAAAGTCATGAAATCGCAAATACCATCATTACTCCACGCTATTTTTTCCTCAAAGTTTTATCAAAGTTTTTTTTTTTTTTCCATGAATAATATATATAATTTATTCTTCTTCCCCTTCCCCTCCCTCCCCTGCCTCCATTTTTCCTAGAATAGTTTCCTAATTCAAAAACGCATAATTCATTTTGAAAATGTAGAAAGTATCGATATCCTGCTTATTTGCGTATTGCCTTTGTTTTAGCCATTGTGATTGATGGTCGTGGTATTTTTTTTTTTTTCTCATCGTTTAAACTATTTTTTTTTGTTTCGTTTATCTCGTGCAATTATGTACATGTAATTTTCATTCGAAATCTCGATATTGGACGGGGGAAAGCGATTGAATATTTAAAATATCCAATAAATATTTATCTTGTTTTTTTTTAAAATATTGTCGAATAATCTGGAAATTTCCCAGATTTAGAAAAATTTAGAAAATTGATTTAAATTCGATAAACAATCTCAAGGTATTTAACTATGAACAACACAAGAGAGATATAGTGGAATATAATATTCTAAATTCAATATTCCAAGCACTTGTCTCAACAAGTTTCCAAGTAAATACGAAATGGCGATGAAGTTAAATTTCGAAATTTAATCGAAACATTATTAAATAACATATACAAACGTTATATAATTTTATTTCATGAGAGATGATCATCATTACCTTAATTTTCTTAATTTTTTTAGGAGGAATTTAATTTCCATTATGACGATCGTTTTCCATTTCCATTTCCATTTTCCATTTGAAAAAAAAAAAAAAGAAAAGAAAAAAAAGATTAGAAATAAAACGAATTCGAACTAGATATTATAGAATATTTGAAATCTGTTCGATTTCGCAAATGAATTCGTCCCTTATCGAATAAAATACATTTGACAAAACGATTACGAAAGAGAGCTTTGGCCTAAGATAATTTCACGTAGTTTCAAATGAAAGGAAGGGAGGGGAGGGGGGGAGAAGGTGTTGAACAAAGATGAATATAACTAAAACCGATAAACCGGATAATACGTATTGTTCGTAAGCGAAA